GGGATGCGAGGTCAATGGTCTAACGACTACGGCATGCACGACTATGAGTCCCCCTTCCCCCCCCCCCACGAACGATTGGCCATCAGTTATAGGTCCTTTGGGAACAATGCAATGCTCCGTCCTCTCGAGGACACGTGGGCAATGGTTCAACGAACCAAGGCTGCTGAAGAAAGAGCACACACACACACCCCACACACACCGCCCCACCCCGCCCCGTCCCGTCCCCCCGCGTCCTTTCATCCCCAAACTTGGTCTTATTCTCGGTGCGACTAGTTGCCACCATGGGTGGAAGACTCGTACCTGGGCCTGGGCCAGGAGGTGCCGGACCCACCTGCAAACGCCAACGCCTTCCTACCGCCGCAACCCCAGGCTCTCCTCGCTCCGTGGAAGGCTTTCACCTCCGGAAGGGGGGGAAACGGCCCCAGCGGCCCCGACCCCACAAAGCTGCTCGATATGTGAGCGTGTTTGGAAGGATAGGGTCCTTGCTTGGAGCGGGTTTTTGGCCAATCAGTGCCCGTCCCGCTCGGTGGTATTTCTGAGGTTTTTAGAAGTTACACGTATATGCAATCGAGAGACTCCCGTTCGAGATATAGCAGTAGGCTTTGCACGTTTTTTTTTATATTATGGAAATGTATTGGATATAGTATGCAATTGGGGAAGCTGGGTAGAACGGGGTCTGCATTCCCCGTTCCTGTCCTATTTCCTCGTCAACTTTTTTTATCGCGCGAAGGGCGTTGAAAAATAGCCACAGCAGTCAAAGGGGATGTGTCGAAGTCTTCGCAACGAGTGTGGAATTTCTGTTGTTTCATTTTCACGGAATTGTCTTATTTTTTGTCAGACCCGTGCGGAGCGGTCTGGTTGCCCACAGGCCGAAGAGACGAATAAGATATCGTATGGACAGCCATCATCGAGTACACCGCTGAACGGCAGCATTTGTCCCGCCTTCAGAGCAACGGCGAAGCCTCCCTCCCGCCTACGGTCCACTCGTGCCCCCCCCCCTCCCCCCTCTTTCACCCCCTTTTCCCTTTCCACCCTCACTCTCCCGCATCCCCGGTATTGGCCATGACGTAGGTACGTGTTGGACGGGCGCCTGGAGGAGGCGTGTTTGTTCCTGTCGAGGGTACTCGATACCCGGGAGATTGGGGACATCGGCGCCCTCACCGAGCTTGTGAGTGACTGGACGTACACCGCGCTGCCTGCGTAGTTTATTGTTGTTGTTGTTGTTGTTGCTGTTGATGTTGTTGTTGTTGTTGTTGTTGTCGTTGTTGTTGTTGTTGTTGTTGTTGTTGCTGTTGTTGTTGTTGTTGTTGTTGTTGTTGTTGTTGTTGTTGTTGTTGCTGTTGATGTTGTTGTTGCTGTTGCTGTTGTGAGAGGAATCAGGTGGTGCCCTCATCTGTTTGTGTTGTGTGGCGTGGAGCTCGTTCCTGCTTTCTCGGAGCTTGGTGTGGATGTTGAACGCCGTCTCTGACGCGCCGCGCCCGATTGACTGAAGTGGCGATGCGCTCCTTTGCACAGCAGTAGGTCAGATCATCGTTGCTGTCTATGGTGGACGATGTTGATGGCGATGGCGATCATGACCTCCCTGAACATGACACGTCAAACAAACTGCCCAATGGCGACACGAGAGTCGAAGACCGCACCTTTGAAGACCTACTCGCGTGTAAGAAACCGGACTTCGGCACTGACTAGCTACACGCAATTTTGCACGTCGCGGTGCCCCTTAATAGTAAAAAAGTTTCACAGCTCAACGCTAGGAGTCCCGTGGATGCAGCCACGGGGGGAGTTTTTTTTTTTCGTCTTCACTTCAAATCAGCGCTCACAGCACTGGTGCCGTTTACTCCAGCCCGTGGTCACACAGAAGAGCCCCTCTCTACCCTCCCCTCCTGCGATACTTTGCCTTCGATTTTTAGTGCGAGAAGATTTCAGCACTCTCTTCCCTATGTGTACACACGAACTAGCGCAATCCACTAGGCCAGGAGCGGAAGCGAGAGAAAAACTCACTTTGCAAGAAAAGCTCGCTCACGCCGGGATTCGAACCCCTAACCTGACCTCTACAAGGTTTCGGGGATACCAACCAGACCACCGGGGCGACCGGTGAGCTATATTTACCGCGGAAATACCGCGAAAATTGAGGTACCCACACTGTCCCACCTTGCTACCGGATATATACCGATACTATCCCGGTGATGCCTCTTACCGCGGAATTCTGAGAAATCCACAACCCACCTTGCTACAAGAAATTTGCAGGTCCTATCCCGGTGATGCCTTATGGCGCATTTTTCAGTTTCCCACATCGCCTATAATCGTCGTCGTAATAAAACCCGACAGGTACCAGAGAAGGACGGCGGGACGGATTACCTCCCGTACGCCTCGATAGACCGTCTTTTCGCCCTCAGCGAAGCGAGCCTCGCGCGGTCGAAGGGGGCCCCGACGACTCAGAAGGAGGGGAGGGTAACCGCCGGTGGCCTCGCGGGGGCTTTCGAGACCGCCCAGGAGAGGCTGGTGCAGTACTTCAAGGTGAGACGGACGGACGGACGGACGGGGAGCATGGTTGAGGGGGTAGTTAGGGTGGACGATAATGGTGGGTAGTTATAGGGTTGAGGATATGGTGGATAGTGTGGGTTGACGATACGGTGGCGTACATGCGATCGCCTCCTTACTGCTCGCTTTGCCGTGGCTTTGGTCAGTTTTCGGTCAACCGATGTCACCCTTCCGAGATGGAGGGGAGACCGTTCCGCCTACCGGGGATGATACGGCAACTGCTGACAACGCCTGGGCGCTGTGTTTTTCCCCCTTTTGTCGCGATCCACTATTGAAATCACGTCAAGCTGGACGGATCTATCTCCCTGCCCGCTGTCACGTGTGGAAGAAGAATCGTCCATGCTGGAATCCCCTCCCCCTCCTCTATGAGCTTCACACGCTACCTGTCGCCTGGTCTTGGTTCTCTTACAATCCAGACATCGAAAAACAAAGCTACATATGAGAGTCATGCACCATGAAGTAAACCAAGCTAAAGAGAGAGCCAAATACAATCAAGACGTGGGCGGGGCCCGGTGTTCAGTCGGTTGGCGCTAGTTCTTCACCCCCTCACGCACGAAAAAGGCTCATACTACTGTATCCATACGATGCCGTATGGTAGTGTGCCTGCTGTTTTTTCCTTGAATTGTTTTTACCTGGAATAATCTCTTTACTAGCTGTCAAACCACAAAACTGGGAGCCAATCACATGGTAGCAAACCCGGCACGGAACACTACCAGCTGCAGAGTCCCGCCGAGTTACTTGAAATCGGTACACCCGTTGGCACGTGTCTCGTCGAACGACCAAAACCTCTGAAAAGAACCCTAGAGAACAGGAAAACTGAAGAGATAGCCGGACGGGAGGCCTCATGCAATCTAATGCTCAAATCAAGTTATCGACAACGAACGATGTCAAGAACACAACAGCAGTGTTTCATTCATTGCTGGTCGTTTGTGGTATGGATAGCTGTTGCCCTAGCTCTGCTCCAAGTTTTCACGGAGAACAAGTCCCAGGAGTCCCCAAGTCGCTCGAATATGTTGCTGTAACATTCATGCTTTGAGAAATGGCGGCACTTCGAGAAGAGCAAGAAAAATGCGTCCCGCATGTGAAGAAAAAAAACATGTCTCCCGCTCCCTAGCCTAACCCGTCTGTTCCCACCCTTGCCGGCGTGTGCCGACGCGACGCACGACACGGTGGCCGTTCGTGGCCGCCGTTGTAAATTTGCCAGGTCGCCAAGGCCGTGTCGGACCAAGCCCAGCCGAACCGAGCCGCGGAGGCGGCAGCGGCAGGCCGGGGGACCTGCGACGCTTCGACTTTCATGATGATGGACTAACCGATTGGTTCCAATGCTTCCTAATCTTTCGAATTTTTTTTCAGTGTTGTATGGGACTTGGAATGTTTGAAAAACTGTGGCTGGCTGGTAGTGTTTTGCTGGTAGTGTTTTTTTTCTTAGAAAAAGGAGGGAAAAAGGAGAGGCAGCGACGGTTCTGCTTCCCACCAATTGCAAAAGTTTCTAGTACCAGTAGTATTTTTGCCATCGGCGGGATGGGGCGGGAGGTTATGAGAGTTCGATCTGTGTTCACGTAAGGCGTCCCGCGTTAATGGAGACCGGCGGACGTTATGACGAGAAAACATCATTTTCAGTCTGAGAACAATCCCAGTGATGTTAGTTTTGTCGTTTCTTTGATATTTGTCGTTTCCCTTGGTGCGTTTTTTTTTTTTCTAGTCGGGAGCACGGTGGCGGTTTGAGGGCACACCTGCTTGTTCTGGCGCCACGCGCTTGATTGGCGCTTGGACACGGGTAACCACACCGAGTGGGCGGCATCAGTAAGAGGCGTCAAGGCGGTGAAGACTTTGGATGGCCCTTTGTTCTGTAGGCTTTTGATTTGGCCCGTTTGTTGTGTAGGCTTGTGATTGGCTCATTTGTTCTGGAGACTGTTGATTGGCCCATTTGTTTATTTATTGTTTTCGCGCCCGAACTTGAAGCAGCGCAAACATACGCATAGTGCTGTAGAGGTTACCACGTTTGGCGTAAGGAGGAGGGCGGCAGTAGGCAGCAACGGTATCCAAACATTCCGCACGTGTCAAAGTACACCAACATTGTATTCTCCAACCTACCCTCGGGGCCACGGACGGTAGTACAATAAATAGTGACCATGCAATTGCTGGTCGTGAGGGTCATTGGCTAGATGGTGTAAAGGATAGGATGGAACACATGATTCAGTTTTAATATCAACCCCAGCAGTTTACACCAATAAACCACGTGGTATTCACTCCCCCCATGTTGGTACTCGGTTTCGCCTTCGAGAGTACTGCTGTTTTTGTTGGCTCGATGCTTCAAGCTTTGATGTTCGTTCGGTGTGATCGCGTCGCGAATATGTACTTCTAGATAGATGGTCGTTACCGTACCCACCGCAGCCAGCACGCCGCCCTCGCGGGTTCGGGGGGGGGGGGGGGGGG